GTGTTCGGTGTCATCAGGCACAGTAAGCAATAGTGTCGTCACCAACCTCTCCTCTAACTTCAAGAAACTCCTCTCACAAGATCGATCCCATATGAGTGGCTGCCCTTTTCGGGTTAGCTTGGTCGGGAAAGCTGCGAACTTAAAACAATCTTGTATGAAACGATGATAATAGTCTACTAGCCCTAGGAAACTACATACCAAGGTTGTAGTAGTTGGACGAGGCCATTCTATCATTGCCTCGACTTTGGCTGGATCCACTGCTATTCCTTCCTTTGACACCACATGGACAAAGAAGGAAACTTCTTGAAGCCATAACTTACCTTTCGAGAACTTTGTGAATAGTGGGTTTGCTTTTAGTGTAGTCAATACTGCCCTCAGGTAGCTCTCGTGTTCTCTGTTGGATTTGGAATAGATCATGTTGCTATCAATGAACACTATAACGAATGTGTTAAGGAAGTTCCTTAATATTCTATCCATCAAGTCCATGAAAACAACGATTTGTTAGTCCAAAGAACATTACTATAAACTCGTAATACCCGTAACGTGTCCTAAAAGCTGTTTTGGGTATATCTTCTTTCCTGATTCGCAACTGGTGGTACCCTGAGCGTCAGTCAATTTTTGACAACACTACTGCCTCCTACAGTTGGTAAAATAGATCGTCTACTTGCGGCAACGGGTACTTGTTCTTCATGGTGACTCTATTCAGTTCCCTGTAGTTTATGCACAGTCGTATAGACCAATCCTTCTTCTTTAAAAATAACACTCGGGTCCCCTAGGGTGATATGCTCGGGCGTATGAAGCCCTATTTCAAAAATTCTTGCAATTGTTCTTAAGTTCTGCAGGGGCCATCCTATAAGGAGCTTTAAAGATTGGCTTTATCTTGGGCTATAGCTCGATGCTAAAATCAACCTCTCTTCTAGGTGGTAGTCCTAACAGCTCTTTAGGAAAAATGTTTAGGAACTTGTTCACAATTGGGACCGTGATGATGTCTCCATTTGTGTATCTGATATCTGTCAGACTAGCAAGTAATCCCCATGCTCCTTGGTTTATTAGTCTCTCTGCTTTCACCGCAAACATTACCTTAGGTACACTTTGGGACTTGGTACCCTTGAACATGAAATTATCTCCAGATGGCGGCTGAAAAAGTACCTCTCTTGCATCACAATCAATGTAGGCATAGTTCTCTGTGAGCCAATCCATCCCCAAGATGACATCGAAGTCAACCATGTCAATGACTATCATGTCATCTCAAACTACCGTTCAGCTACTACTATCGTTACCTCACTGATTCTATCCTCGGCCAGCATTATCATGCCAGCTGGAGTAGACACTGTCAGGCTTTACTCTAAGAGCTCTATCCCTATTCGTGCTTGCCTAACAAATGTAGAAGATATAAAAGAATGAGTTGATCCATAATTAAACAAGGAAAATGTGAAATAGCCAAGTATTGATAGTGTACCTTGTCACTACTTTTTCAGCATCGGTAGCTCGATGAGCTGTGGTGGCACGAGGCATGCCTCGAGCTTGTACTTGCCCGCTTGAGTTCCCCTGGTTCAACCTTAAAGGTCGATTGACATCTGTCTTCTTTTTATGGGAGTATTCAGCCATTTGGTGAACAATTTTCCCACAATTGAAACAAGATCTTGAACCGACCATGCACTCTCTATCATTGTCTCTACCACATCGCTTACATTTTGGTTTCTCAATAGTTGGAGGTGGCTATCGACTAAACTGCCATCATGGTGTTTACTGTTGATCAAATTGTCTCCGTGCATTTTTTCCTTGGTCAAACTGCCTCCTAGGAGGTTGCTGCTGAGACCTAGAACAGTTTAGGTCAATCCTTCTTTTGGAGCCTTGTTGATTGTTGAGCCCCTTGGTGTTTTGGCGGTTGGCATTGTCGAGGACAGTGGCAACCCTAACAGCTTCAACATAGTCGAACGTTGTATGGGCTGACACTTGCTAGACCATGGCGAGGCTTAGTTCAGTTGGGCTATGAAGGACTCTAAGACTCTATCCAAATAGTTTATAGAAAATATCAATCTAAAGCTCTGATACCAATACGTAACAACCTGCTTTTCAAGTGACTCGAGCCACAAACCATTACTCACTTACATGGAAATAAGTAAAAATGTGTAGAATTTAAAACTTTTAAACGTGCATGCACATGAAGAGTTTAGATTTAATACGACAATGTTTAAAAATACATCACAAACTAAAGACCCACACAACACACACACAAAAGAAAATGACATAGATAGTTCGTAAAATCCAGAAATACAAAAAAAAAAAAAAAAAA